AACCTACAGCTAAATGAGAAAAATGAACAAAAATATTCCTGAAACAGGGGAGAAAGGACCCACAAACAGGAACAAGTGAACGCCACACTCCACTCCCCAGGTGGTGGGGCTCTGTGGAAGAGCTGGGCCCCCTGCCTCAGCCTGACTCCAGGCAGGGAGCTGTTGGAGTTTGAGGTTCCTATCCCTGGCCTGCACAGTCTCTACTGGTGTCAGTTTTGAGGGCTGTTTTTTGAACAGTGCAAGAATACAACACTGCATAAATCATTCCCACCACTCTTTTTTTATTTTTTAATCCTCACACAAGAATATTTTTTCCATTGATTTTTTTTTTTTTTTTTAGATGGAGTGGGAAGGAGGAAGGGAAAGAGAGACAGAGAGAGAGAGTGAAACATCAATGTGAGAAAGACACACTGGTTGGTTGCCTCCCACACAACCCTAACTAGGGCCAAGGATCAAACCTGCAACCCAGAAATCGAACCTGAGACTCTGGTCCGTGGGCTGATGCACTGAGCCAAACCAGCCAGGGCCATTCCCATCACTCTTGAATCCATATCCCTGAAGCTCTGCATTTTATAACAAATCAATATCTTAAATTTCAGTTATAAAAAGACGACATACCCTGGCAGGTTTGGCTCAGCGGTTAGAGCATCAGCCCACAAACCAGAGAGTCCAGGTGTGGTTCCCGCTAAGGGCGTGTACATCAGTTGCAGTTTGTCCCCAGCCCCAGTTGGGGTCACGTGGGTGGCAACCAGTTGATGTGTCTCTCTCACATCGATGTTTCTCTCTCTCTTCCTCCCTCTCTCCCTCCCCCTCTATCTGAAGATAAATACAAAAATGTCCTCAGGTGAGGATAAAAAAAAAAAAAGATACAACATTTCTTCAAGTACCTCTGCTCTTACCAAATGAGGACCACAGAAAAAGCAAGGCCTATACAAAAGCATAATAATTTAAAACCTCAATTAACCAGAACATATGAGAAACAAACTGGGTAATTTCTGGGATAGTCCAATCCCCTATTTTGTTTCAACTCTCATAAATGAAAACCTTATCCAAAAAATGACATTTTCCTGCCTTAGAAGGCAATAATAAAAATAATCCAATCCTTTTCCATGTCCTAAAGTTTTAACATCCCTCAGGCTCCTCATTTTAAACATGAAAAGTTGGTTTAATAAACATAAATAAATTCTGACAGTAGCATCATGTAATCACAGGATTTTCTTTTTTATTTATTTGCAAAAAAATTTTTTTAATCCTCACCTGAAGACATTTCTGCATTTATCTTCAGATAGAGCGGGAGGGGAAAAGGGAGGAAGAGAGAAACATTGATGTGAGAGAAACACATCGGGTGGTGGCCACCCACACAACCCCAACCAGGCCGGGGACAAACTGCAACCGAGGGACGTGCCCTTAGCGGGAACACAACCCAGGTCTCTCTGGTCCATGGGCCAACGCTCTAACTGCTGAGCCAAACTAGCCAGGGCTTTTATTTTATTTGAAATTTTTATTAATTTATTTTTGTTACAGATCTTTCCCTTCCCCCCCCCCCAGACACCCTCCTCCCGATCCCACCCCCCTGCCTCCCAGTATTGTTGTCTATGTCCATTGGTTAGATTAAGGAGAATACTGAAGTCTATATTCGAAAGACGTTTTCCTCAAAGTTGCTTCTGAAGAACAAGGTAACAAATTAAGAAACAAACCATTTTCTAAAAAGGTGTAGGTCCTGGCTGGTTTGGCTCAGCAGCTGGAGCATTGGCCCTTGGACTACAAAGTCGCGGGTTCGATTCCAGTCAAGGGCACGTACCTCAGTTGCGGTTAGGCCCTGGCCCTGGTCCAGGTCATGCAGGAGGCAACCAGTCGGTATGTCTCTCTCACGTCGATGTTTCTCTCTCTCTTCCTCTCTCCCCCCCACTCTATCTGAAGATAAACAGAAAAATATCCTTGGGTAAGGATTAAAAAAATAAAATAAAAAGGTGGAGAATTACAGTATTTTTTTAATGGACTCAAAGTGGTAGCCAGAGCTACAATCTTCAAAAGCTGCTATTGATTTTTATGATCTAATATCTCCAACACTATAATCATGACCTAATTACCTCCCCAAAGCCCCACCTCCAAATACTGTAACATTAGGGGTTAGGTTTCAACATGTGAATTTTGGAGGGACACAAACCTATAGCAAATATTATTCAGCCATAAGAAAAAATAAAATCCTTGAAAAATTACCTACTGATAAATTCTGATATCCATGTTGCAGAATTTACATTATTTCACTCATGTCTATAATGCTTTTTTCGGTACATAACATTTATTTGTCAGATAAAAACAGGATACACATTTGCAAACAAACAGACCAAACACCCTTCTATCTTAGGGCATATGTTGTAGCGAGACTGACAATAAACAAAATAAGTAAATAACAAAGGGTGTCAGAGCAAGCACTATGGGAAAAAGGAAAACTGAAGCAGGGAGGGAGGATTCAGGGGATGGTGAGAGGGATAAAATTTCAAATAGTAATAAACCTTCCTGAGAAGTCTGCATACAAACAGAAAAATAAGCCAATATTATTTATTTAGTTTTGAGGTGCATTACATGCTCGCATTTGGGTTTTTTAATATTCACAGAAGCTATTTTCTCTATTTCATTTTGTTTCCTCATAATTGGCAGGAGAGAAGGCAGGCTGTCTAGATTCTGCCACGGATACTTCTCCTAATATTTTGTTTTACTTGATGTTTTTTAAGAACTATAGCTACAACTAAAGTGAAATTTAGGATTCTCCATAAAACAATTAATAGTCAAAATGCAATTTATTTTATTTTGTAATTTTTTTAAATTTATATATTTATTGATTTTTTAGAGAGAGGAAGGGAGAGAGATAGAAACATCCATGTGAGAAACATCGATGGGCTGCCTCCTGCATGCCCCCACTGGGGATCAAGCCCCAAACCCAGGTATGTGCCATAATAGAATCGAACTAGGACCTCTCAGTCCATGGGATGATGCTCAATCCACTGAGCCACACCAGCCAGACATCAAAATGCAATTTAGATTACAAAACTTAACATTCTCTCTATGGCAATTTCTATGTGATCTATGTTATCTTATTAAAATTTATTAGAGGTAGCTAGAGTATGAACAGCAGTTCCTAATGTCACACTTTTGCAGCAGTAAAAAAAAAATTCAGATATGTGAAATGATTATCTTAAAATAAGCCCACAGAACGTGTCTCCACAAATTGTATATTTACATAAAAAATTAATTTGTAACATTTTGAAATGAAATTGTTTTATCAGCATTTCATGCAATATTCATGAAACCTTTTCTAACTTGCAAGCTGAAAAAAAATAACAAATGCAACAGAATAACTGATATTTAAATGTTTTTATTTTGAAGGCTAAGAATTTTTAGGAAAGCTTAGAGAAAGTTAGCAAATTACAAAGGACTCAAGTCATCTTTCACATAAGACTTCTGTTAGGACGTCATAATGAAGATATTTGATATTGAAATTTATACTGTTTAAGTTATGTCAATAATGCCAATGGGCTAATTAACCTATTTGCCAACTCAATAATGAGAAACAAATGTAGGTGAATAGACAAAAAAAAAGAAATAAAAAAAGATTTTAACAGGAAATGTCATCACTGACTACACTAAATACATCTGAACTATTCCCCAAATACCCAACCCCATGCACATACTTAAAAAATGTTTTTGAAAAAAAAAAAAAATGTTTTTGTCCCAAGAGAAGCAAAGCTTGGACATTTTTGCTTGGCTATATTAGACTTTCAGACCTACATCCCACATCTGGAAAGAACATTTCAAACCTAACTTGATGTAACTTTTCAAAATCACACTGAAAGCAATTCGATACTTTGTCTAAGATCTGAATTTGACGAAATCAACAGAATGTTAGAAATGAAATAAAAGAAGTACTCAAAGTTTATCATTCTCCATGTGAAGAAAGTAACATGGAACAAAAGACGCATTTGCCTCTTTTGCCCCTTAGATTCTTAACACCGTAGTTCTCTCCATATGTCATGCCAAGGAAGAGAATTTTTAAAAGCTTGCTAAATTGAAATACGACCATTTCATCTAGACTTGCATCAACCCTACCCCCAATTTTTTTAATTAAAAAAATCAGAAGAATAGATCCAAGTCCTCTATAAACTACGCCTGGATTACTTTGCTCCGAGGCCAAGGAAAACGGTTCCGATTCCAAGATCCGTTCGGAAGCATATATCTGCAATGCGTAAGCTTTTCGTTGGCAAGATTAGTCAGTATCAGAAAGCATGTAACATTTAAAAGGTTAAACGCACGAAGGTTGAAACAACAACATAACCAATTCACTAAGAAAGACGTGTGGCCAAGTCACCACGAAACAATTTCGGCCCTAAGGAATCAAAGAGGGCTTTCTTGTTTCTGTTGAGACCACGGAGCCTCTGCACGGTCTCAAGTACCCTCAGCAAAAGGTGCACCAAGGCGGCGGGGGTGTTGGAGACACAGGGTGAGACCTCGGTCGGGAACCTCATCACAGCCTCACCTTTGGGTGAAAAGGTGGGAGGGGGCAAGAAGTTTCCGCTTCTGCTCGCTCGCCGAAAGGACCCTGGGAGGAGGAGGGAAGGGGCGAAGACGCGGGGCCCGCGGTGGACGCGGGACCTCGGAAGGGATGCGGAGGAGTGGGCTCTTATGTAAGCACACACGGAAAGCTGTGCCGCACCCGCAGCCCCGTGCGCATCGGAGACACCAACACGTCCACGGCATCTCCCCCGGGGCGCAGCCCCAGCCTGCGGGCGCTGACGAGCAAGGGGACCGACCCTTCTGCCGGGCTGCACGTCCCCCAGATCGGCGCCGCCGCCGCCACCCGGGGCTGCGCTGGGGGCGGCCGGGACCCCGGAGCCCTGCCCGGGACGGAGCCCGCTCCCCCGAGCGCCTGCAGCGCGCGCCCACGGCCTCCCGCGCCCCGACCCCCGTCCCCGCCCTGCTCCCGGCCCCGGCCCCGGCCTTACCTCGCGCGGCCCAGACGCCGCCGCCGCACAGCAGCCCGGCCAGCAGCAGCCAGGAGGCCGGGGCGGGCGCGGGGCGGCGCAGCATCGCTCGGGCTCCCGGCGCCGTGGCCGGCCCTTGGCGGGAGGCAGGGAGGCGCGCGGGGCGCGAGCGGGGCTCTGGGGCCCGGGGCCGGCTGCTTCGCGCCGCGGCGAGCACCGGGGTCCGCGGAGGAGCCGCCGCCTGCCTCTGGGCCGCGCGCTCGGGCCGCGAGCGCCTCCCCTCCGCGGAGGCAGCGCTTCGCTGGAGGCAGCGGCACCAACTAAGATGGCGGCAGCGCTCTCTCTCGGGTCCGCCAGGGGACCCGGCTGGGGGCGGGGCGGCGGCGGGCGGGGACGGGCGGGAGGAGAGCGGCGGCCGGGCGCGCGCTCGGCGCCAGAGGGAGGGCGGGGGAGGGGCGCGCGCCCGCGGGGACGCGTCCGGGGGGTGGTTCCCGAGCGGACGGGAGGGCCCGGGACTGCACCCGCCCCGGCCGCCGCCTAGAGCATCAGCCCTGCATCCCCACGCGCGATCCCAGGAACCGGGCGAGCGGCACCCGGGGCCCGAGCCTCCCCTCCTGCCCGTCCCACCCCCAAGGAGCGCAGACCCCGCTGGAGGGGGCAGCCCGGGGGCCCTGAGCGCCAACACCTTGGCCATTCCGAGCGAGTGGCGTCGCCTCCCAGAACCTCGGTGTCGTCTTCTGCCAAGTAGAGGTGCTGAGAGGGAGCCCGCGAACTCGCGAAAGGTGCTCGAGGGAGGATGCGAGGCCGGCGGGCCGCGCTGTGTAAACAGCTGCCCTGCAGGGCCGGGGTCCAGCCCGGCGCGGGTGGGGCGACGGCCTGTCCCCGGAGTCCTGAATTGATCTCAAGATGCCTCGTTTGCTGAAGAAATCCGTTGTGGCTTTTTAAAGGTGGCTGTGCACTGGCCCTCTTTAGAAGATCTTAACGTGATGCTAGCATTCCTTTAGAAGTGCGGAGATCCAAATGGATAAAAGGGTCCCTCCGGTAGATCCCTACACGGGTCTTGGGTCCTCCCCTTTTCCTCCAGTCCTAGGCCCCCACCTCCCCTGGACCCCCTGGAGCACCCCACACTGGAGGAAAGCACTGGAACAGTGATGGAGGGCTCCTGTGGGCCAGATGAATACACTGGGCCGGATGACTTATCCAGTTGAGACAACTGCTGTAAAAAGAAATATGGGCCCCGGCCCTGGCCTGTTTGGCTCAGCGGTGCAGTGGTTCTCAACCTTCCTAATGTGACGACCCTTTAATTCAGGTCCTCATGTTGTGGTGACCCCCAACCATAAAATTACTTTCGTTGTTACTTCATAGCTGTAATTTTGCTACTGTTATGTCTGAGGCAACCCCTGTGAAAGGGTTGTTCCACCCCCAAAGGGGTCGCAACCCACAGGTTGAGAACCACTGGGTTAGAGTGTGGGCCTGCAGACTGAAGAGTCACAGGTTCAATTCCTGGTCAAGGGCACGCACATCATACCTTGCAGGTTGGATCCCCAGCCCCATCTGAGTCAGGCAGGAGACAACCAATCATGTCTCTCGCTCTTGCTCTCTCTCTCCCCCTTCTTCCCTTCCACTCTCTCTAAAATGCAATGGAAAAATATCCTCAGGTGAGGATAAAATATATATATATATTGGCCCTCTAGGACAGAACAGTGGCATTAGGGAGACACCAACAGCAAAAGTCAAATGAATTATTTGAATTATGTGAATTATTCCAGATTGTGCTGGAAGAACTGTCAAAGGTGATTCACTGCTCAAGGACTGGCACGGTGTTTGCTGGCTGGTGGGTGGGTCTGGCTGGCTGGAGGGCTTGTGGAGACTAGTTTGGAGTGGGGTGGAAGGAGTGGGCAGCGATGGAGGCTGGGAGGGAATGAGTCACTCCGTTTGTGGAGAGTGGAAGACTTATTTAGGAGAGTAGTGCACTGGTGAGGAGCCCAAAGAGCTAGCTTGAGGGACCTTAAGTGACAGGATGAGGGATTTGGACTTAATCCTACAGGGACAGCCTTGAACAGCAGTGAACAGGGGCGTGATGTGACTCGAGGAGGATTTCAAAGCAACCTAATGAAGCTCTTCCCTGTCTTTTGTCCCTCAAAGGCATCCTCAACCAAAGCCTGAAGATTCCACCTCTGCTTCTCCTGCCACCCCTCCCCTGAGTCCAGCAGGCCTAGGCTCTCCTTGGGTGGACCCTCCAAGGCAGCTGCTTGGCCACCCTCCACTCCGTCCAGCCAGGCATTGCCATTGCTTCCTTCCTTCCCTGGTTCCTAGTGGCTGGGGCCCTGCTGCTCCCCCCTCACATCCCGACAGCTCTGCCAGGCTTCCCACCTTTCAACCCCAGGCCACACCCAACTGACCTCAGGGCCTGCTGTGGCCATTATCAGCCTTCAGTTCATTTCTTCCCAGGACCAGCACCAAATGGCATAGCCTCCTCCACCTCTGCCCTGAGCCTCAGGGCCTTATAGTGCACCTCTGGGCTGCCTCCTCCAAGAAGTCCTCCTGACTATCAGGCCCTCCCTCTCCAAAGCCCACCTGCTCTTAACCAGCTGAGACTTGATAATCCAATACTATTCCAGTGGGAAGGACCCAGATGGTACAGTCAGACTGCCTGGATGGGAATATTGGTTCCTGCTCCTACGAATGACCTCGGAAAACTTATGGAATTGTCTGAGTCTCTTTCTTCTCCTGGGAAATGGGATAACAATACATTTTTTTCTAGAGTTGTGAGACTTAAATGAAATGATGCAACTGAAGTGCCTCACAGAGCCCAGTATACAGTAGGTCTAAACACTGGGCAGTTTCTTGTTCCCTTGAGAGCCTTCTGAGCTCCTAGTGTGTTCTGCTAAACACAGTAGGAACTCAATAAAAATCGAGTGATGAACCAAATGAATTGCTCTGTGTGTGTGTGCGTGAGAGAGAGAGAGAGAATTTTCTTTTTTTATGGAGATCACACATGAGACCCTCAAGATTTACAAAACAAACTCAGAAAGGTATAACCTCAGGACTGCATTTTGAGTCAATAGGTTGATGCCAAGAGGGAGAATGTAATGTATTCAATCCTGTTAGAAACACAAACAAAAGCTCTGGTGTCTGGAATCCTGATCCCTTTATCTTCTCAATCTCACTGTCCCTTAAAGAAACAAAGACATAGATCAAAAAGGTCCCGCAACAGGTGGGCAGACAGCGCAGTGTAGCCTGCACATGCTGAGATCTGCCGGCAGGAGAGTTCATCCAGGCTCAGCGTGAATGTCTTGGAAGCCAGAGAACCAGTGAAGTCTGTTTCCGGTCCGCCTGACAATAGCCTCAGCCATATTGGCACTTTTCAAAGGTCTCCACGTGATGGATGAGTTAATTCTCAAAATGGCCCTGCGATGGGGATCGATGCAGGCTGGTGCTGTGGTTAGCAGAGAGGGGCCACGCCAGGGGCCCTGGAGCAGTGGGAAGAGAGGCGCCCAGAGAAGACCATTCCCAGGCCCAGAGTTGCGGTGAGGATGAAACGAGATCGAGGACAGGAAAGCTCTTTGCCAGGACGTTAAGCTATGCTCAGGCAGCCGTCGTTACCGGCCTGTCCTTAGGGGGTACTTAGATGGGAGGATAAGTTAGTGGCTTTGTCAGCCAGACAAGGAGGACTTAAACTTTTGAACGAGCAGTAGGTAGGGAGAACACAGAATATCCAGGGTGCTGCCTTTTGTAAATGACTTGCTAATAACCACAGCCTCTGTACTAAGCTCGTGTCATTTATGTCTCCAGCCCCACTCTCCAGAAGAACTTTTATTGCTCCAGGGTAGAAAAAGGTAACCTTTGTTCAAGAGCCCATTGCTAGAAAGGACATCTGGGATTCAATGTCATGTCTGTCTGAGCCCCAAAACAGTGCCTTAGCCCCTATGTGAGATTATACCCCAGAAACCAAACAACACACTGCACAGGATCCCCCAGCTTTGCAGCCACCCTCCCGCTGCACGAGGCCCTGGGAGGCCGTCCTCATCCAGCCTAAACTTCCTCCCCGGGAAGACCATTCCCAGGTCCTGAGCTGCGGTGAGGATGGAAGGAGATTGAGGGCGGGAAAGTTCTTTGCCAGGAAGCCAAGCCATGCTCAGGCGGGCATCATCACTGTTAGTACAGTGAGCCCAGGCTAGTGCTTAGGGAGCCATGCGGGAGGCAGGAAGCAGCTGTCACAGCCGGTCCTAGCAATGTGCTGGGAGCACACCCGCGTCAGGGCTGCCGGGGAGAAGGTGGTGAGAAATCTGATGCGAGCCGCTGACCACAAACTCCTGAAGGTACTAAAACCACTGCCCCCAGCACCATCACCGGGATCCCCCTGGAGACCCACAAGGTGCTTGGTCTGGCCCCATCTCTGCCTTCCAGGGGCCAGACCAGGTTACTCCATTGCTATTGGAAGGCATAATGAGAGGCAAAAGGATGTGACCTAAGGCAGAGACTCTGGTTGGACAGATCTGGTTCAAAAGCATATCTGGCCTGACTGGTGTGGCTCAGTGGTTGAGCATTGACCCATGCACCAAGAGGTTGCTGGTTCGATTCCTGGTCAGGGCACATGCCCAGGTTGTGGGCCCAATCCCCCAGTGGGGGGCATGCAGGAGGCAGCCAATCGATGTTCTCTCTCATTGATGTTTCTCTCTCCCTCTCCCTTCCTCTCTCTCTAAAATCGATAAAGAAAAAAAAATTTTTTTAAAGCATATCTGTCCACTTCCTTCCCTTTTGTGAAATTTTAATTTAATTTTCTTTTATGGTTATGTTAAATATTTGCATAGTTCCAAAGTCAAAACTAGAAAGCAGGGTGCTCAGGGAAGTCTAGTCCATTCCTGTCTCCTCCTCCCTGATCCCTCCTCCACTTATAGATGAACATGTTGCCTATTTTGGGCTCATCCTTCCATTGTGGGTTTTTTGGGGATTTTAAAAAATACAAACAAATATTTGGATATGTTTTCTCTCCCCTCTCTTAGATAAAAAGCAGCAAATCACACCTACTGTTCTTCATCTTGCTTTTTTCACTTACTTAATAAAATATCCTGGAGATGGCTTCATCTCAGTATACAAACATAG